TTGTGCAGCACGAGCGCGAACTGTCGAAAGTTCGAAAAGAATTCCTCGGGTTTCTGCTTTCCAGCGGAAATCGGTGAGCACCGGGGGCTCGGGATCGGAAAGAACAAAGGAGTAACGCCGGATTCCTCTTTCGCCCGGCCCCGGGACTGTGAAAAGGGGGCGAACAATGAAATAAGCAACTCGACGGTAAACCCGGAAACAGATCGTAAACTCGCTTGTAAAAGTTTCGCGGATACGCGGCATTAAAATTGCACCGGGTCTTTCGCCGTTCTTTTTTCCCTCCCCCCTCTCCTCTCTGTCTTGCGGGACCCCGTTGCCGAACTGCTTAATTAAATCCGCGAGTTTGCGAATCAAAACACGTTTACGGAAACGTCATTTACAGCGTTTTGTCGGGAGCGCGGCGTTTCCGCGGGTAGAACGATGGGAAAATTCGTTTTCGATCGGCTCGTAAACCGACGAGAGAAATATCGCGTGCATGCGTTTTTCCGCGCGCGCGTTGCACGCCGTGCGCACACAGTGTACACCGCGACGGGGAACGAAGAGCGAAAGAAAAAGCCCGACAAATAAATAACGCGGTGTACTTTTATACAGCCACGAGAAAGCCGAACGTAAAACTGTCAAACCCCTAAATAAAATCGGCCGTGCGTGCGCCCGCGCCGCTTCAAGAAACGTTGCGTCGGATTCGAGAGTCACGGAGCTCGGGGAAAATTCGGTGATTTGTTTCCTGGCGGACTCCGACGTGTGCTAAAGCAACGCCGTTCTACTATGTTTCGCATACTGCCGGGGTTCCCACACTCGATCAGCGGTTTTCTTTTTCCAACGCTGTTTAATTCGCGCTCCGTTAAACCATTATCATTTGTTCCGCAGCTGCTGCGATTAGAACTTATTCGACGTTTATCAATTCGTGAAAGCGAACGAAAATTATCTAATTTACGTTGATGATAATATTTAATTCGTGATGTTTAATACAGAATTAGAAACATTAACACGAATCTCTCTCACGTAATTTTAACATCGCGTATTTTCTAACTCAATTGCTGGACGTATTATATTCTGTATTCTAAAAGATATTTAGCTCAATTAATTAATAAATAGTAATAACGGTAATAATGATTCTAATAATAACAATTAATATAATAATAATAATGCTATTCAAAAGTAATAAAAATGATCTCACAGTTTCGAACTTTTTAACTGGTAAACATTGGTATCTACAATGTAATGTGATACATTTAATGTATCCCTTTCTATTCGAACAGATGCATCATAAATTTTCTAATTTAAAACTGCAGACAACGTTCATACAGCAAAAATAAAGAAACAGTGCTAACATATCTTCTTTAACTTATAAGACTATTTTTTCTTTTCTATTCTGTCTGATCCTCTGTTCATTCTTTAAAAAACTCTGTTACATAGGAGAAAAATATTGCTAAATTCAATGTGCATCGATTCTACAGGCGTTAAAGGATGATACCAGCTCGGAAACATTATTTTCTGTGTAGGACTTTTTTCAATAGAAATATTTTTAACGAAACTCGCTGTTCTACAAGATCGCTTCAAAGATATTCAAAGCTACACGAACCGAGAGCACCCATATAAAATTCATTTGCGCGCATATGAAAAATTCAGACCATAGAGTGTGAAACATATTGTTACGCTCTGCACTTTTCCACACACACACATATCCGGTTTATTGAAATTCTTTGAAGTCTATCATTTGGAATGTAACAAATGCAATACGTTCGAGTGGATTTCCGGTTCGCGAATATGCTGCAGTTATTTTTAGAATGTCTGTAATCAATCGAATATAAAGAGACGGGAACACTCGAATGTTGGAATACTATCCATATCGAATTCTTCGGTTGATATCGTTCGCCGAGCGAGAACATTAAATCTTGAAGAATTTCTCCAATTTCTTTCGGCCGTGAATTCGCCGCTTCTAGCCAATTCCATTAGCTGTGCAAACATTGCAAAAAAAATGAAAGAGGAAAGATCTGGAATGCAGACCAGTTAAATAGTGGACCTCACTTTCGAAGATTCTACGACCGTTCCAATCCATCAGCATGGTTGCGCGGAGCACCTGTAATAAAGTCCTAAAGGTCAGCGCAGTCAATTTGGGAATTGAACCGAAAGGGAAGCGATCGGTTCACGGCAAATATGAATTTCCATTTCATCGTAAATAAGACTACGAAGAAAATCACTTTTCTGCACGAGAATATTCATATTTACTCGGCCACTTAAATGTAGCCATAATATTATAATGAAACAAGAAGATATACTAGAAAATAGAAGGAAGTGTTCTCGGCACTTCTTTTTATTGATTAAGCAGTTTTTATTTTCTGTATTAATATATTATAAATATTACGAATTTCAGACTTTAGCCAAATCTGTTATTCCAATGCAAACACAAACTGTTCATTTTAAATAACACATCGTCAAACAATCGAATGTTGGGTATCCCGATGAATTCGTCTAATTTTTACCTAAATCAACGCGCGCAGTACAGTCATCGTCACAGAAATTTATTCGTCCGATTTTGATGTATTCGTTAGAGCGTGATCTCGTCGAAATCCGCAGTAACTGCAACCTTGATCAACGGAGATAACTAGTTCGTAGGTCGCCGGCCAGCCGAATCTGACCAGCGGCGCGTTCATTAGAAGAAGAAACATGAGTTTGATCAGGGAACGGGTGGATAAGAGGCACGGTCGGCCGAGCAAAATGCATCGAGAATGCAGCCGGGCTCTTTTCAGCGCATCAACAGTGCCACTTCAACTCGTATTTCTCTTCCCTTTCAGCGGCCGCTTTTCACGGGCAGCGATCGACTGCCGGGTAGAAGGTTGCCCACTCGTGGAAACGTATTTCTGATCGAAATGCTGCCTCTAATCAATGTCCATTAAGCCGCGGAGGGAATGGAAAAAAAAATTCCGATCAAGCCGTGTCCCGTCGCGTCGGCTCGTCCACGACTAACGCCGCCGACTAACGCCGCGCCGCCGCCGTCGGCCCCGCGGATTTCGTTTCGACGACGAGCCCCGCCGGATGGATTTTCTGATTTTTATTTCGACATGCGCCCCGACAGATTTCCCGCGTTGCGACGCGTCGCACTGCACGATATGTCAGCCGCACATTTCCCGATTGTCCGTAGGAACAATCGTTCCTTTTCCTTCCGCATTTAACGGCAGCTTCGACTGCGATCGAAATTGATTCGACAATTTCCGGCATGCGATACTTGCAAATATTTTACTCGATCCTCGGAATCGAAGTTTCCCTCCCCCCTTCTTTTTCAATTTTGTAGGGTATTGTCGTGCCATTGTTGCACGTTCGTGTGTGCAACGTGGAATTCCCGTTACAAATATTCTGTGGAATTCAGCGAAAAAGAAACTGGATTGACAAATTTCTTAATTTCAAATTTTCTGAAACTCTTTTATCATTCGTCTATTTCTCTTTTCACGTCGTTTTTAATCGGAGGGTTGAACATCGAAGCAGCTTCATATTTTCCATAAGCCGCCATGTAATTAATATTGCTCTCGAATTTTACGTAACAATGCGGATCGAGATGGGGCGTTCAACAGGAAAACATTTTCAAGCATATTCGCGATCGCGACACATTGAAACTGCAACAAATATATGAAATCTTCGCCATAGAATCGTCCGTGCAAGTTTGCGAAGTTCATTCGATGCGAGTAGTTGTTGAACACGAATAGCCGCCGCTAATTCGTACATAAATTCTCGTTAATTTGTAGACGACCGTACGTGAACTCGGAGCACAATGGAATTTCGGTCGGCCCATATTAATTAATAACTGTCTCGATGAATTTCGCATGACGTTGGCTTCGTTGAAACCGAGCCACTGTTAACAAATTCTTGTTTATTAATTCTTCCTCGAACGGGATTACATTTCTGTTTCTCGCGTAGAACGTTAAGCAAATCATCCTGGTAATTTCTATTCATTTGTTATCCGTGTCAAATAGCCTCATCACCTTTAATCTCTTCGCTCTAGACATGTGTATTATTCACTGCTACTACACTCAACGAGGTTTTTGGGATCAAGGCCTTTGTAAATGATCCTAATGTAATATGTGAAAATATAGGTAGGCAAATAATCAATAATCCAGAATAATAAATAATAAAAATAATAAAAATGCAATAAAATCTCTCAGAGATTGATTTACTCTTTTATATACATTCAAGGAAGCTCTGACTTAGCTATGTGTTTACATATTACATATAGAACTTAATAAGTATTGTAAGTACTAAACTTTAACATTACATCTTTTAAGAAAGGACAAAATATATGAGAATGCGAAAATATTAAGCTTAGCTAATAAAGTTTCAACACTAACTGAAAGATGCAGTTTAAGTTTACGAAATTGTTTATACGAAATGGTCTTCGCTTTAATAAATGTTAACTACGATTGATAGTAGACATTCAGAACACATTCGCATTGTGTCGATTATTTTCTGTCAAAACTGTAATGAAATTCTATTCATCTGTTATCAATATTTAATAAATCTTAGAACCTCACCTACTGCCGTAGATAGTCAGGAATAGCCTAACGCAGCTGTTGCGTACGACCATAAAAGCTAGCCGATAAAACAAGAGGCAGCATCGTATTTAACGCGATAAGTGGTCCGTCTACTAATTCAGCCAGCCAAACCACAGCCGAAACACCTGGGAAAGTTCCGTAAGAAGCGTTTCCTCGGCGAGGACGCGGCGATGTTAAGGTTTACGAGTCTCCCGGTTCGAATAATCAGAACGTTCTTCCCGGCGTGGGTAGCTCGGCACGGAAAGAGGTCAGACAACAGCTCGTAAACATGGTCGGCAACATTGCGAACGAAAGTGGCTGGGTGGTCCTCCGGCATCCGGTGAGACCGGGCAGACGTTGAAACTCCCTCATTACCTAAGCTCGTTTCGAATTCACTTTCCGCGCTTCCGCGGCATTAAAATCTTCCAGTGTCTTGAGCCCCTCTCGCTGCAACCTGGCCGTTCTGCTTGCTTTCAGTTGAAGGCGTTCTACGTGGATCTGCTGGTCCCCCTCGAGACGAACCTGGAGAAAGACACGAAGGTGGTCCAGGTAAGCTCCGAATCCGCGGCGAAACTATCAGCCGCCCAACGGGCCGATGAATAATGAAGTAATACGTTTCGCAGAGCGAACAGAAGAAGTTTCTCCAGCAGCACAAGACCAGGTCCGAAACGTACAGCAAGGCCGCCGCGACGATGAAGAAGCAGAGGAAAAAGTCGAGGGGCGCCAGCAAGAGTGGACTCGCCATGGACAAAGAGCTGAAGAACATGCAGATCCTCGAGGAAGAGAAGTCCAAGCTAGACGCCTTTTGTGAGCAGAGCTTGAAGAACGTGAGTATACGCCTAAATCGGGCGTCGCGCATCGTCCTACAGAAATGCGTTCATTATTTTACTGCGCGGAGCAATTCCATTCTGAAGATATTGATCCGATACATTCCCAAAACTTGTCCGACGACGGTTATTTTTCGGCACTAAAAGTTATCGATTCTGCAATCTGAAATGTAGACGAAGTTCCTTCGTGCTGTACGGTGAATCTTTCTTATTAATATCCAAAATTGTGGTACTTCTGGGAAACGGGGGATTCCTGAGGTCATTTGAAGCAACTTTTTCCTTAGGGAAAATGCAATCCGCTGCTTCGTTTACGAGTTATTAGCGACATACGACGACCAATGAGAGGCGAGCGCGGCTGGCGCAATGCGACCAAGCCAATGAGCGGACGAAGCCCAGTTCCCCTGAGTTCCCCAGATCGCCTCGCGCCAGCTGATCTCGCCTCTCATTGGTCACTGTTATTCGTTAATAACTCGTAAACGAAGCCGCGGATTGCATTTTCGTTAAGGAAAAAGTTACTTCAAATGACCTCATGAACCCCTCATTTCTCGGAAATACCATAATTTTGGAACACCTGAATAAGTAACATAGACAATGATTAAATAAGTAAACTGTTGTAATCTCTTCGAGAAGGTGTGATTGTTACAATATAAAATTATGTTGTAACGATATGAATGTTCGATTTTTTAATTTTATTGCTATCATTTATTTACTTTCTTAACTTAACCTGATAGCCGTTTCTGACGAGTATACTCATCCAAAAATAAAATGTAGCCTTCAGGACGAATATACTCGTGAAAAACAGTTAACTGGTTAATAAGTTAAAAAGAATATAATTTTGTACTTTATTTTTCTCTTATGTTACACGAAGGCAGAATCCATAATGATGCACGTAGAGTAGTGGAGCCGGTTACAGTGGGGTGACCAATGGCTGTGCCTTCAGTTTATTTTCAAGTATAAATAACTTTCTTTTTTTTAAATAACCTAAATAAAGTACCCAGCTTCCGTTTTTCTGCTCTCATGAAAAATGTTTGAACGAAGGTCCGCCGGTCGTCCATCGGTCATTAATTTTGGCGTGAAAAAGGCAATGTCGTGGCTCGATGGTGATTGAATAATGAATCGGTCGGAAAAAGCAGGCTAACGACAATGCATGACTTGGATTCGAGGCCCTTAACCCTTTTTTTCCAGGCGATGACGCAGGAACGAAGGAGGTACGGCTTTGTTCTCGAGCGACAATGCTCCTTGGCGAAACATTATGCGAGTTTTCATGAGTTCACGTTAGCTGCTCTTCATCCCTCGGTTGATAAGTGGCGCGAGGTAGCTGCTACCAGGGAATACTTGCCCCAATCCGTGGAAGATATGTTCGCCTCCAGACTTAGGGTGAGCGATGCTGGGAGTATCTCATTGTTATCCCGTGTTTTCTTCCGAATTTATATGTAGCTTTGCGAAGTAGTAAATAGTGCTTACGTGGACGATTCTAAACGTGCAAGAGGAGCGACGAGACCCGGAGTTTCTGAAAGAAACAGTGTTCACTGTGATAAGCTCTGCGAGACTCGCGGAACATAGTGATCCACTGAAAGTGAACTTTCGCATTATTATTATGTACGTTCCTCGGAATGAAAGTTAATATTCATAATTAGGGATAATAATTTCTCGTTGGTAAGTTTTTCTAGTCTTAATCTTCAGTTTTTATAAATTCTGAATCTGTCTCAGCAGGTTCTAATCTGTTTATTAGACAATGAAAAATAAATCATGCGAACAATGAGTCTTGCAGAATACATCAGTGTGTCATTCTATAGACAATTGAATTTATAGCTATCATTTCTTTGAAACATTACCTTAGTGCTTGAATTTATTGGAACAGTATGCTTCGAATAATTAATTTAACTTTTTCAACAAATATTGTGAGTTCTTAAATATTGTTTTAATATGAAGCACTGTATAAATCACTTTTGGAAGATACACTTTGATGTGTTACTATTGTGTAAACAAAAGTCAGGTGTAAACCAGTCAGATCTTTTCTGATCTTTTTCCATCACAGTTACCGAAATTAGAGAAACGAGGAATCTATTGATAAATTTCTTTACCGCAGCACACATTTTAATAGTAATTGTAAATCGAATCTTGACATTGTTGGTACTACAAGTATCATTGTAATTTCGATAATAATGAAGTGAATAAACTTATTTCGTCTGCAATGGAATACTATGGAATACTATGATTGCACTGACCGTTTCTTTCCTTATTGTTGTTTAGCAAGTTTCATTTTGGCCCGAGGACGAAGAAAATGGCGGCTCGGAGCTTACGATGAGCTCGCAATTGAGGAAGACTAGAAGCATGGACAGCTCTTGCTTGGAACTTCGACCTGGACCGCCTTCCGGAAACGTGTCGAGCACCACTTATCAAGGCCCATCATCGCACCTACCTACAGCTCTGTCTAGAGCAAGGTCGGAAGCCAACCTTCACGCTTCAACGTTATCTTTGGACCCGGGTAAGTCAGCATCCATCATAAAATTTTTCATCAAAAGTCCGGAGACGTCAGCCGTACACAAAGTTCCACGTCTCATATTGTTCTCAATCCACCAAAATTTTGACACGGCGGATTCTGCTTTATCCAGCTTCAGAATTTCAGACATGCATTATTAGAAAAGTTTCATTTTAAGCGGAACAAGTTTTGATTGAACGTTAATTTAATTCCACATATTGTAATTACTTTAATTTATAAGAATTATAGAATTTTAGGGAGCACAATTAAGAAAGCTTCATTCGTTAATTCAACACGCTACGACGTATCTAATTTCCATCAGGAGGTTAGATGTCACCGAATTTTATGAATTCACTATGACTGAAAATAATTTCGACATGCTATTGTTCCATACTGCATATACGCTGCATTACACGAAAGAGCCACCGTAGAACGAAAAAAGTGAATGAAATCTGCGCACGGTTTGTTCTATTTTACTGCGGGCGAAACGAGTAATAAAAGATCATTATGCATTCAATTGTCGTTTTGGTAAATTCATTTAGAACAACGTAAATTCGCACGAAGCTCCGCAGGGAAGCATAGTTTTTTATTCGGCTGATTTTTATATCTCAGTAACGCGGTTCTCGACTATATTAAAAAGAAAAATACACACACACACACACCGTTTCCTCCCCTGTACTAGTAATTAAACTTTATTAGAATTACAGTAAAATTTTACGGCCGGCCCATTAGTTTTGCAGCCCTAACCATTCTCTGGTATTTGTAACACGCGGCGGCGTACACGAAAATCCGATGGCGCAATTAAATTTTTGTGTCCGAGCGGACGACGCCTTGCGCGTCAGGTTTCACCATTGGAGTTATGAATGCGGAAACTGAGTTTCGCGCCGAAATGCAATCTGATACAATAAAAGCTAAACACGCGAGAGAAAAAGCGGATCCACCGGAGATACGGATCCCCCTTATTTTTCACGGTTCTCTGTCTCTAATTTTGCGGAGTACGATACACTCATTATGCTTTCCTCGTTATACCGTGCGCCGCGCTTTGGTCAAACTTTTTCACCCGGCCGTTCGTACACTTTCCTAAATGGGAATAAATGACGAATTCTCGGAGTTAAACGCTCCACAAATTTACACTGTACATTCATATCGGTTCGCGCTGAAATATCGTTTGCAGACAACTACGATAAATTTGTTTCTACAAATAACACTCGCTAAAATATTACTGTTCGTTCCTCACAAATTTTCGTTCATTCCATTCATCCTTGTCCATAGATCCCTTGTTACACGTTTTAGGAAAGATACAACCGTTAAAGCATGCTGGAATCGTGTTCAGGGATGTACGAAGCGAATGGCAAAGCAGCTCTCTTACAATATCGTTCGAGGGATTAAATAACGATTTGTGGACGATCGTTGAACGAACGTGTACAACAGCGTAATAATTTAATACTCCGCATCATTTGCTTGATTACAAATTAATAGCTTACGCGAATTAGTCGATGACAGTCGCCTGAATCATCGCGCGGCGAATTCACTTTCGAGTTTGTTCAAAATTCCACGCGGCAACAACGCAGGTCGGTGTATTAAATTTCGCCTGGAAACACGGCGAACCGGAATATGCAAAAAACCGACATTTCGTATTCTAAAATCTGAAATTTTCCAGCGCGTTTCGAGCGCGTTCGTCGGAGAAAATGCGTTATTTTTTTTTCTTTTCTCTGTCGGCGCGCAATCTGTGTTGTCGTTTGTCCGACGACGGCTTAGGCGCCAAAAAACCAAAAACTTGGAGTCGCGCTCGCATACGGAACGAGGCGTCGGCCTCGCAGGTACATACATGCTCGTCAGAGACAGAGAAACCGGGGGACACGACACACCGGGGTCGTTTTTATTGTAGCTAAACCGAATGGTCGAGTACGCTTCGAGCGAGTCGACATTGGGGTTGAACACGTAACAAACGTTTGCAACACGACCGGCTGGAGAAGTGCTCGCAAAACAGTTGGAGAGCGCCGAGAGAGTTCGCTGCGTCGAATATCGAATTCCACTTGTCGACCGCCCCCGCGCAGTCGAGAATTTTGCAATTTTTCCATTATCCCCGTAGCAACGAATCGCATTAATCGGGATCTCTATTGATCCGGCCCGCGCGACACTTGCAATTAACGGCTCGAGGATCTTCGCGACAAGTGAAGTCCCTCTAGCAGAAGTACGCTTCTTTCGTACAAAAGTTCGTACAAAAAGTTCTCAATTTCATGTAAATATTTACCGGAATTCTCTGTGCGCATTAAACTGTTTCGTATCTCGTTGAAAATCTCAGAGGACGATGTGAAAAGGGTTTCCCAATAAAAGCGTCAGAACTTTAAATTGTAATAAAATGAAGACTACAATAGATATATAATTTGGTGTTCATTGTTTTACTTGGAATTACATTCGATGGTATTAAACATGAGATACAATGCCAGTTAAATGATCGCTACGATGGCGTTTGCCGAACTGAATACGAGAGATCCAATTTTCGATGAATCTGGCCCATAAATCAAACCGCACGCGCGCGCGCGTATCTCACTTATAATATGAATGATGTTTGCTGTAACCATTAACTACTATTGCCAGTATATGTGACCGTTAATAATTATATATAATTGCAAGATAAATTGTAAGATAAATTATAGAAAAAGGGACACTTGCTTCTGTTCAATCGAATTGTTCAAGTTGGGCCCCTTCATTATTGGACGTGCAAAATAAGAACAATTGATTCCGTTTTTTATTTACCACTTTCACATCAATAATATAACATAGTAAACACTAGCATATAGTCTAAATCATAAACATATAAAAATCATATAAAGAAGATAATATATATCTAATCTGTGATCATTCAAAATTCTATCACTCTTATTGGAAGACCAGTTTTAGTGCAATGTAAAAGAATCTACTTGAACATGTGACATTGTTTAATTCTAGATTTATTTCGTTACTTTAACCCTTTTAGTGCCGGGCGAAAAAGAGGTGCTTATGCGAATATAACCGGCCGAATTTTACGATTTTACTAGGATTTAGAAAAAGGTTCATAAGAACCAAACGAAAAGCAATAGTTACATAATTCAAAAAGCAGTGTATTAAGGACAAAATGGAGAATAAAACAGTGACGCTAATTTTTCTCTCGTAATGAAATTAGACTATTTATAACGTATTTATTTATTTATAACGCTACAAGGTGCGGGCCGATATATCGGCTCTGGCACTTTTCGCCAGTGCATCGAGGGCCGATATATCGGCCTCCGGCACTAAAAGGGTTAAGTTGTCGAAGTGACAAAGATTGGCCTGCCTATAAAATATTATTCGAGTAGAGAAAGTGCAACAGCATCGAGACGTGCGCGATATAAATATGAATCTAGAACTGTACCTAAGAGACTCTCGGGCACCTGATCGGTTCGTATAACCGAGGTGCCGGTGCATTGTCGGACGGTCTCCCAGCAGACGTTCGTCGCAACTAAATCGTCCCGAAACTTTCGATGCAAAAGATTCGAATTCAGTGGAAGCGGTCCAGCGAAGTGAAAATTCAGAAGATTTTAAGAATTGTTGCCGCTCGTTCATTTCCCAAGGGGATGCTCGTCCCGGCTCGTCGCTTTAACGTTAACTTCCCGGTAAGATACACCGAAGTTTTTGTTACAATGCCGCGCGCGCGCTGTTCATTTTCCCGAACAAGCCTCCAAATAACGCAGAACTTTCCATTTCGCGAAGTTTGTTGAGGGGTCGTTTTTGCGCGCCGGCCAAGTGTATAAATTCGCCTGTAATAACGCGAGAGCAAAATAGATCGGCGGCCGATGCGGGGAAGAAATGAAAAGGACATAAAAGAGAGAAGAGAAGACAGAGAGAGAGAGAATGAGAGAGAGAGAGAGAATGAGAGAGAGAGAGAGGAGGAGGAGAACGGGGAGAATGGAACGTAAACTCGGTAGAAATATTCAAGTAAGTGCGGCCCGTTCGAAACGCGCCGCGGTTTTTGGCCAAGAGCCATTCTTCTGGTCGAAACGCGGCGTGGTAAAACAGAAACACTGGTACGAGAATGGCAGAACCCGCGGCAGGTGCATACGAACTCGTGGAACCGGCGTGTGCCCGAGAAAATGGATATGCGGGACCTGGGATCAACGAAACAATTTGTGCGAAACGAACTGTTCGTACGTTTCGGGTCGTATCGTGCCACCGAGTCGCTGTTGTCTTGCTAACGTGTTCACGGGACATTCCATGTTCACCCGTTAACTTTGATTTCGTCGTCAACGACACTTCGGCTCCTTCGTTGCCTTCGCTATTGCTGAAACCAGGTGTTCGGGACGCAGTAATCCTTAACGCGTTAAGTGCTAATCCCACGATTTCATACTGCGATATTGTAATTTTATGTTCACGAGTATTCGCTGAAAACGACGAACGATCGTACCCATTTCAAGGCACTGCATAAGATTGTCTCGAACTGGTTCTTCCCGCGCGACCTTTAGAATTTTAGCCTCATTCTCTTGGTATAAGAACGAAGCTGCATTATTTCTTTAATTGTAGACAGATATAGGCAAAATTTCCAGTAACTTAACTGGATTGCGTATCTTTATCGCAATTATTTCTATCAACCAGAAGCTATTTTTCGCTATTTTCTGAATAATAATTTTGGCTAAATATATTTCACTAATTTCGCTGTATTATCTTTTGTAATTTTCACTGTTTCAAAATTACAACTTTATTGATTTTCTGAATTTTTAAGACATTTAAAGAATATAAAGTCTAAATATGACTATCGACAAAAGCTTTTATTTTCATCGAATGCACATTATTTTGGATTTTTAAACTATTTCAGTCTCGTTTCGTTATGTTTACTTACGAAATTCGAAAAGTAATATGCACACTTTACTGTGCAATTATTTTCACCCTCTTCGCGTTGCAATGCACTCTCTCGTAAATAATTAAAATTCCTTCAATTAATTCTTGAAAATCCTACGACTCATTTCGGAAGCACGATTATCAATTAATCGAGCCTCGTCTGAACATTTGAAAAATTGCAGAGATCGCCGGGATCCACGTTTCCACAGAGTTCTCTACATTTTCCAGTAGAATTTAACTTTCGGCAGCCGTGTTCGAGCATAAATAAAACGGCTGGTGCACGCACGAAATCCCGACGTTAAAATGATTCCTCTCAAAGGTCCTAATACTCCGCGCGGCACATTAGGGCACAAACGAGCCCAATTAATCGTATTCCTCCTCGTTTTCGCAGAGGTTCCGGATATCCCGCCGAGGCCGAGGTCCATGGCGCCTCCAGCATCACGCAACAGCGGCAGCGTGGGCGGGGGCGGCAGTGGCACTGGGGTGAGTTCCGGTGGTTGGGGCGATGCACCCCTCGCGAGGGCTGTCTATGCCTATTTGAGCTCCGGGGAAAATCAGCTGAGCTTCCTGGAGGATGATCTCATCGCATTAATGGGTGAGTGTTCGATGTCTGTACGTTTGCCTGTTTCGTCCCGTCGGTACGTACCCCACTTTCCTCTTAATACTGCAGCAATCCGGTAATTATAATTAGCAAATTACGATTACCGCCGGCTACTCGCGGAGGCAAATTTAACTGCACGGTTTTTTATGCAGACCCGGCTAAAAATATTTCGACCGTGAAACATAAATATATGGAAATGATATTTGTCCCGACTGTGACACGCGCTTCATTTGAAACAGTAATTAATTTCTGTATTATAAATACTAGCTGCAGTACCGAAATTGAAACAAATATCTTCTTTACTATACGTGAAACGAAACACTTGAATATTATTTCCATGCATTTGAGATACGTGTTGAAAGCCGAGAAATGTTAAATGTACCAGTTACACTTATTAATTAATTAAGAGAAGTATAAGAAAAAGTTCACTTTTTAAAACAATATGTGTTCGTGCTTTTCCTATAAGTTTATATTTTCTCTCATAAATATCGATCGTAAGAAATAAAATTTCAAATAATTCCTAGGAAAAAAAAATCGCTAAAAATCTCAACAAATATATGCTTGTTATTTTCATGAAACGATATAAAGTGGTCGCTTTTTTAGTGATCCGTGAGCCTTAGCATTAATGCTGCAAAATTGTAAGAGAAAGTGTCGTATAGGAAAAGTATCCCGGTTGCTCACAGAGGGGTCGAACAAAGAGAAGTTTCTCGTATCACGAGAACCCGATCTTACTACGTTCGACGAACAAACACCTAGCTTATGTTTCTGCCGGCATCAGGCATCGCTTATCGGGACTGCTCGAAAGAAATCAGTTCCCGGGGAATACTTCGTTATCCCGTGGAATACCGGAGTTCTTATCGAGCCGTTCCATTCGTTCAGCCGGCGAACAAACGCCATAAACGTAATATCTGTTTCACGGAAACTGCGTTATTAGGAGATCGTCAGAAGGGCTGGCAATTTGGGGAGAATCTGCGCACGCACAGCTCCGGATGGTTCCCACTGGCTTACACAGAAATTATTATCGACGATACTCTTGGGTAAGTTAACAGAGAGACAGGAAAGTCCGGGCCCTTCGGGGTGGCCGTTGCGGAACGATATCATAGCAGATCTTGTTACGGCGTTCGTTGCTAACAATTGCGCGGGTCGAATGCAATTACGTTAATCTAGAACGATAACGGGCCAACGGGATCGCGCATCGATGCAGCCATTGCCATTAAACCGTACTCGTCTTGGTGTTATTGTTGCATCTGCTCTCCTAAATCCTCTTATTCCGATGGCCGATTTACGGCCAGCCGATAGAAATTTCGCGTCCCGGCCACTTACAACGGTGATTTACCGTGTCGATTGTCCGGTCGAAATTACGCGCGCATAAAAATGTTAATACGCCGCTGAATCATTCATACGGCGTCCTTAGATGGAGCCGTTTTCTGAGGAACGACCGCACGGTGGCCTGGGAACGTCGTGGCCGAAACTAAATTTTGGTTTCGCATTTCGCAGAAAATTTTGTATGCGTTCGTTTTGACATTTTGTAACAAAACATTGGTCATTGTAGACAATTATGTCTAAGAAGACAGCATTCTAAATAGAAAATTCGGAAATTTAAAGTGATTTAATTATTTATAGCATTGTGTAATCGATGTACAAGTTCTGCAATGTTTATAACAATTTCAACTTTGAGAACGGCTTTAGAAAATGTTGAAAATATGAAAGGTTAGACAATTATATTTTCCAACGAAATTTTAGCAGCATCTATTTTTCTATAAATTTCAATACAGAAATTTGGAAACATTTTTTGTTATGTAAAATTGAGGTCATCGCGATCTTATAAACATATATTATGACTATAATATAAACAAATATTTTGTCCATATATTACCATAACTGGTGGTAATACGAATGCAATGACCTGCCATACTACAACCTTAAACCTTATAATAACGCTTGAATAGACACGATAAACTGGTTTCCAGTCCACTGTGCACTGTTTTATTTGCTACAACCTGTAATATTCACTATACCGAATGTTTCGCCACATGTTTCACCACTTCGATTTACTCGACTGTTATTACTAGACTGCGGATTTTTATGCGAAATAAAAAACTGTCATTATAAATTGTACGGTATAGAGGAACTGCATAGACATTTATTTCTTTCCTTAACAATTTTAGCTTGTTGACAGCAATGCAATAATCTTTTCAAATTATTTAAATGATCTTGCAGTTTTGCATTTGACCTACTTTATCATAAATATACAAAATCCGCACTCTAGTCATTAATCTGTAAAGTGAATTAACAGTCTGGCATATGTAAAATGCTCGCATCGTTTCAAGAGAAATAATGTCATTCGAAATGAAAATTTTCTAAAGAAATGAATTCGAGTTTATTATCTGAAGCACGCATTCATATATCAACGCTAGATTTATGGAATCCGTCGAATCGATGGGTTTCCATAGTTCAAGATTATCGAGATTATCAATGTAGAAAATTTATTCAGCGTTGTTACTCTTCTAAAGCAATGTAAAATAGCGATGTAAAAGAGCATCTACCGTTGAAGAGCAAAGTATACATAATGTGGGCCATGAATAAATCGATAATAAGGAACGAAGCAAGGATGAATAATGCATAAACAGGACACAAAGACATTAAGAAGGACTGTTAGTTTACTTCCGTTTCATCTCTGACGTTGAAAGTTGTCAAAGGTAGTTTCACGAAACCCTAAATCAGCCAATAGCAGGCAAGATTAACCTGCAGATCTTTTAACTTTTTTATTCATTCTATTTGAATCGAACATCGACGACACGCTTCGGTCATAGGAATATTTCACTTTTGAACTAAAAACTTTTAATTTCAACGATTGCAAAAATTATTGGATTCCAGTTCCACTTGAACAATGTGGAACGTTGAAGGGAAGTTTCGTATATAGATAGGGATATATCTCTAGATGAAGGATTGCATCGAGCAATGTTTGCGAAACAATATTCGGACAAGCAATCTCTCCCCTTGACACTTGCAGCGATTCAGATTCAATCAATATCAATATGGTTATTGTTCCCCCCACGAAATCAATCGTACTGGTAATGCCCGAAGATCGCCAAGTCATGGAACAAACAATGGTCGTGCGTCGGAGCCACAGGCAGTTCCACCCTGCAAGCCTCCACCTTGTCGGCCGCCGGTGACACCGAGTAGCATGGATGAAGTGTCGAGTGGTTTCCACGGAGTGGGGAACAACATCGCCAACAACAGCAACAACAATAACAGCACCGGCACTCCGACTAACGTGCCGAACAGCAACAGTTCTCACAATCTGGCTACACCCACTGCACGCCAGTCGAAACCGGTGAGGATGGCCACGCATACTATCCGCTGAAAGCTTCTCTAATCCGCGCCCGAAAAGATTCGCGTGCTCAGATTGCAGCATCCTCTGTTTGTCTATTGATACCAGTGCCCAACAATTACGGCTGAAATGAAAGTAACTCGAACACTAAATAATGTTTTCGAGCTGTAAGTTTTACTGCAATTTGTGTACACGATGTCGAAGCGAATTGGATACGGATTTCTTATTAATAAAACGATTGCGTGGCAATATAATAATAATAATATAATAATATAATAATATAATAATATAATAATATAATAATATAATAATATAATAATATAATAATAATAATAATAATATAATAATATAATATAATTTGCACGTAACTCGAATCGAAAAGAAATGCTATGGAATGAAAATGCTACTTTATCTCGAATATTGCTGACAGTTGATTTTCGCCAGAATGGCCTCCATTAGGAGGAGAAGGTTCAATCTCCGCGAGACTGGCGCAATAAAAGCGCCCAGCGCCGGCATTGCCGAAAACGTTGGAACATAAGCCTAATAAACGTTGCCGGTGTGTGGTCCTTAGATCCGTCCATCGGGCACGTTGCCCACCGTTTTGGCTGGTGGTCGCAGGATACAGCCACCTGCTCCGCCAGTTCCGCCGCCGCAGGTCGTCACGTCGCTTCACAGCAGCAACGACAGCGGGTTCTCGAACGAGCCACCGGCCCAGCCTGACATCGACTACAGCGACGACGAGGCGATGAGGTAAGCGATACGCACGCCATGCCATGACGTTTCATCGAAGGTACTTTGGAATCTCTCTAATTGAATCTCGACGGAGGAGATAGTTGACGATCGTTGGCAAAACCAGTAGAAACGCTTGTGCCTCTATGAATCATGGAACCCCCGCCCCTAGCCGAGCTTTGGTATCTTACTACATCCCCACACCCCCAATAATAATCGCAACCCTGGTTCTCGGTATCTAGAATTACAACGTAGAACCGTAGCTGGTATCTTTTGGACCTAACGAACGTTTCCATTAAACTCTTTTTTTTTTTAATTCTCATTATCTAAATTATTTGCATGCGGGTTGTTTATATAGCATTATAGCGATACATTGGTCGACTGATCTTGGATTGCTGATCGTTTGTCTTGCATGCTTTTGGAATTTAATGGATTACTGGGTGTGGTTGAATTATTATGGTGGCCATGAAGGCGTCGCTTTCGATAGTTCCCCGATGTTCGTGCTGTTCGTTTAGATAGGAAGAATGATTTAGGATGGATGAATGATCTTGGCAATTTTTACTACTAAAAATATTTTCAGTTTATGAATATAATATATGTCACTTGTTGTTGTGTAAATGTCACTTGTTGCATGAACGTTGGTAATAAAATGTATATATTCAAGATATGTAATAATTAAGAACGATGCCAGAGAACAGATTAGAGATTCATTGATTCCCACGGTCGATTAAACTGTTTATATGCACCTGACGAATTTCAAAAATAGATAGGAAAATTGAAAACGTTTTGTGGACACTGATGAAGAGTTTTATACTATAATTAGAATATATTACAAGCAAATGAAAATTTTCACGTGTAGACTTTCCTAATCAACTATTTTGTTAGGACAGCAGAAAATAGAAGACTGTCATGAATGAACTGCAGATTTTTATGCATTTGTAAAGGGTCAATAGATCGCAGATTTTATGCATTTACGACAAAAATGACTAAAACTCTAGAATGATTCACGAAATAGAAAAGAGAGTATACGTTACTACAATACGTTACTTTCATTTCACTGAAATTATTNCTTGTGCCTCTATGAATCATGGAACCCCCGCCCCTAGCCGAGCTTTGGTATCTTACTACATCCCCACACCCCCAATAATAATCGCAACCCTGGTTCTCGGTATCTAGAATTACAACGTAGAACCGTAGCTGGTATCTTTTGGACCTAACGAACGTTTCCATTAAACTCTTTTTTTTTTTAATTCTCATTATCTAAATTATTTGCATGCGGGTTGTTTATATAGCATTATAGCGATACATTGGTCGACTGATCTTGGATTGCTGATCGTTTGTCTTGCATGCTTTTGGAATTTAATGGATTACTGGGTGTGGTTGAATTATTATGGTGGCCATGAAGGCGTCGCTTTCGATAGTTCCCCGATGTTCGTGCTGTTCGTTTAGATAGGAAGAATGATTTAGGATGGATGAATGATCTTGGCAATTTTTACTACTAAAAATATTTTCAGTTTATGAATATAATATATGTCACTTGTTGTTGTGTAAATGTCACTTGTTGCATGAACGTTGGTAATAAAATGTATATATTCAAGATATGTAATAATTAAGAACGATGCCAGAGAACAGATTAGAGATTCATTGATTCCCACGGTCGATTAAACTGTTTATATGCACCTGACGAATTTCAAAAATAGATAGGAAAATTGAAAACGTTTTGTGGACACTGATGAAGAGTTTTATACTATAATTAGAATATATTACAAGCAAATGAAAATTTTCACGTGTAGACTTTCCTAATCAACTATTTTGTTAGGACAGCAGAAAATAGAAGACTGTCATGAATGAACTGCAGATTTTTATGCATTTGTAAAGGGTCAATAGATCGCAGATTTTATGCATTTACGACAAAAATGACTAAAACTCTAGAATGATTCACGAAATAGAAAAGAGAGTATACGTTACTACAATACGTTACTTTCATTTCACTGAAATTATTAAAAAAAAAAAAAATAGAAATTCCAAAATAATTCACGTTATTTGTAACAGATGCAGAAAATGCTTACATTGCACAAAGATCAGCAGTTTATCAATCGGATACACGTGTCTACAAAGCAAAACGTTAGAATAAAATCGAATCGGTGTAATCAGATCGTCGAACATTATCTCACTAGTAAAATGAGGGTCCATTTTAGCATCGTCAAAGTCAGAGATCTGCAGGCACTATCGAGTATATAATCTCTCGACGTTACCATAATAGTTTGACCACCGTAATTCCAATCAACGCGTCAGAGCGCGCGTTTCAGTAGCCTATGTATCGCTAATGTGCATTAGCAGAGCGAGGTTCAGGGCCTGATGTCCTCATTGAAACCCAGCGAAGAGAGAGAGGATCTCGATCTAGATCAGCAGCATCCCGGGCGTCGTTCGATTGATCCCTCCTCGAAACGACTCGGTCACGGCCGCCATATCCAACGATCCGTCCAGACCAAGTAGACTTGTGTCCCGGAGTCACGATGTTGTTTTCTCTCCTGATTTGTAGATTCCGCATGCGTTATCGCGGTCGATGGAAATAAAATACGGCGTGGTGGTGGCTCATTCACCTCTCCGGGCTCCTGCGATGCCAGCAGCCATAATCCCTCATCCCCGCAAATATCGCGACCACAATGCTCGGCAGCCGCATAACTAATCCTGCCCAAGTACTTGGCTCTTGGTTTTCTCTCCGTTATACTCTCTGCACTCTTCCGCCCTGTTCTATCTCTTCTTTTTCTTTCTCTTCTGTTTTTCTCTGCCTCTCTTTCTCTCTTTCTTTCACTTTCTTTCTCTTTCTCTCTCTCTCTCTTTCTCTCTCTCTCTCTCTTACTTATCCCGAGCCCGAACGAAAACGCAGACAACGAAGAAGAAAGCCACGCGCCGATAGAATCGCCGAGGCCGCTAAGCAGCACCAGCACCAGCACCAGCACCAACACCAGCAGCAGCAGCAGCAGCAACAGCAACACCAGCAGCAGCAGCAGCAACACCAGCAGCAGCAACAACAGCAACAACATCAGCAATCCCAGCAGCAGCAGCAGAAGGAGGAGAAGTCCGGCGGCAAGGACTGGGAGAACGACTCCTGGAAAACGATACCGAGGGACGAGAAGAGCTGGCAGCTGTACAGAACCGCGATGGACCTGTGGGCGGAGTCGAACGCGAACCCGAGCAACGAGAACGGCGAGACCAGGTACACATCTAGCCGGCACTACGACAGCCAAGAACGCAAGAACGGCCGGGACTACTCTGACCGTGGCACCATGGAGAACGGTCCTAGCCGGAAGTCGGGCAAGAAGTCGCAGGAGAAGTCGAAGAAGAACGAGTACGAGGGCCGTGGTGGTCACGGGAACGCGAACCACAAGAACAAGATGATGAACAACGAGGAGCAGTTGCGAAGTTCGTCCAGGAGGAACAACGAACAGGCCGAGCAGAACCGTCGCGAAGCTAAACGCGGCAAGGAGCCGGTGGAGACGGAGGAGGACGAGATCGAGCTGGAGGAGGAGGAGGAGGACAGCTACAGCGGCCGGATCGATTATCAGAAGTACGAGGGTAAAAAGTATTACGGGGACCGGTCGGATGGTCCGGAACGGAATTCTCGCCGCGGAGGAGGAGGCGGCTATCGTCCGGTGGAGCAGGAGGAGCCGAAATACGAGAACGAGAAGTCGTCGTCCGGCTCGTCATCGGGCACCGACGACGAGAGCACGATCACGATCCCGGAGACCGGCCGGAAAGTGGAGCACATCGCTCAGAAGCTCGAGCAAACCGCGCAGAAATACGCCAGGGAGCACAGTCCGCCCAAGTTCATCGAGCGTAGGAACGACTATCGCAGTTACGACCGCCGTGAGGAGAAGCAAGCGCCGCCACCCTACGAGAGATACAACGAGGGTGACAGGGGTCGGGAGTCGCAGAGATTCGAGCGGGAGAGAGACCGTTACTTCGACAAATCGCCGGCCATGCCGCAGAAGACCTCCACTTACGAGCGCGACAGGACCTTCGAGAAGAATCCCGACCGGAACCGGAACATCGAGCGCGCTTCCGGGAGAAGGTTCGAGAGACCAAGACCGCCGTCCGAGGAAGCTCCCGAGAGGCCTACCGAGCCTCGGAGCGTCTACAGGGAGCGCAGGTTCTCCGACAAAGAGGAGGCCATCTACGGCGAGACGAGATTTGTCAGGGAGGTCACCGTGGACAAGGAGCGAGGCTACGAGTCGAACTTCGAGACGAAGCTGGAGAGGACGAAGGTGATCGAGAGACACGGATATCAGAACCAGCTCGGGCAAGGCAACCTTCAGAAGTTCCCGAGGAACGGGACCAGGAGCATGGAGAAGAACGACACGAACAACAATACCTTGAAAGACGACAACAGGAAGCCGCTGCTGCCGCGACAGACGACAGCGGTGGGACACTTGATCCAGACCGGCAGAGCGTTCGACGAGTCGAAGAGTCCCAAGCTGGTGAAGAGGACCAAGTCTTTCTGGAGGTTCAGAAGGGACTCCGATGTCCTGGAGGGCATGGCGCTCTGGCAGCATAGGTCCTTGGTGGACATTCCTAAGATGATTAAGAAGGAGACGAAGGAGGACGTCGGGAACTCCGAGGAGCCCAAGAAGCCCAGCCCGGAAGGCAGCCCTAACTCTCGCCACAGTATAGAGACCAGAAACAGCGACGTAACGATCACCAACGAGACACGGCCGGAGGATTTGAAGCCAGCGGAGAGGAGCCATGTGCCGGAGAAGTCCGATTATTTCGAGGACTTCCCAACGCCGGCCGAGAGACCGAAGGCAGTCGAGAGGTCCGAGTACCGGATGCATCAGGAGGAGAGGTCCTATTTCATGGGCAATGTGTCCCGGAAAGCCATCATCGAGAAGGAGCGGAAACGGAGCCTGGAGGCCAAGCGGAACATGATCGTGGCTGAGCTGAAGGAGAACAATGAGGCGAAGAGAAACGAGAGGAGGAAAAAGTACACAGACGACGAGGACGGGATGACGCAGAACTTCAGCGAGACAGAGGCGTCCGACGAGGAGTCCACGTATAGTTGCATCGTAGTCAAGGACCAAACGGTCGCCGAGAAGACCCTATTGCCCAGGACCAAGCTGCGCAGGGATTCCGATCGCGAGAGGGATAAAAATACGTGCGGACCCTGGTACGATCTCTGGGGAGTGGACGCCTCGGTGAACAAGAAGAAGAAGAAGCAACAGTAAACCTAGAGAATCCCCTGGCCGTGGCGACACGTTGGCTCTTGTTGACGGTCGTCGATCGTCCGGAACAGGAGAACCAGTCCCGAACAGAATGGACGCGCAACTCACGGTCCGCTTTTTATGATTTCTATTCAGATTTGTTTTGTTTTTTAGTTATCGTTATCACCCCGACTTTCTCACGTCACGAACAGACCTTCCCATTGCTCCCGAAGTATCCGAACACTAGACGTGCGCTGGTACTCGCATCTCGCCAGCCGAGCCGAACTCGGTTCGATTTTTTCCAGTTACTCGAAATCGACGAACTGTTCGAACGTGCGAGTTACTTGAAAAATCCGAATTCGCGAACGCTCCTAAAATCACGAAGTAGAATCTCGATTATCCTTGAATATCGAAGTTCTCAAATCAATTAGAAATCAATTGAAATTGAAACTGACACTGTAATCTTAAATATCCTGTAGATCCTTGAAAAATGCGATTCCTGATGTCATTTGAAGCAACTTTTTCCTTAGCGAAAATCTTCTCGACGGCTTTGTTAACGAGTTATCAACGAAAATCGCGAACCAATCAGAGAACGAGTGCGACTGACGCGCCGCCCTCGCGGCCACTTCCACGTCGAGCTAGTCATCACGTTGGAATCCGTTCACTGTACTCGTTCTTTGATTGGTCCGCGTTTTTCGTTTATAACTCGTTAACAAAGCAGCGGAGAACATTTTCGTGAAGGAGAAAAATTCTTCGAATGACCTCGGGAATCACCTCTTTCAAGGACTTACAACATTTTTGAGACACCTTAGTATGCAGGTGTCTCTAATGCATGTGTACTCTAATTAATATGCTTTATCAGATCAAGCATGAGCATTTGAGCCGATCGCATTTTTTCGAACAGTTCGCAACGATCTCGAATATCTCGATGAATTCGAACGCTCGACTCGGCTCGAAAGATCGATCATTGCTCGATTCGAATAAATCGAGTACTGGCGCACCTGTACCGCACACCTATCTTACCAGCAAGCGTAGCTGTTGCTCGATTACGTTTCCCGCTCTCGTCGGCGCTCGTTCACGATCAAATCGACCAGTTGACGTTAATCGAGCCTCGCGGAGCGTGCTGATGAACCGATACGCGTCCACGTGACGAGTGGGTTCGTATCGCGACGGAAAAACAACGTTATGGATGGTGATTCAATCATAACTCTTGTTCGATCTGTCGTTACAGGACACCGCTGTAATTCGTTGATGCTTGGATTGCTCCTGCAAAGTGGCACGTACAATAATTATTCATAGTTTAGCGTAGCCGGCTCCTTGATATGTTTGTTTTCGCATGTTCACGCACCGCCTGCCAACGAGTGCGCTCCATTGCATGTCGCATCGCAGACACTCGGCGCAGTTTTGATTTTTAATTAATTTATAGCGAATTGCTGCTGGCGGAACGTCGCTTTCCGTTTGTTCGAGGACGCGAGCACGAGTTTACTCGGCTATCGAATATTCAGAGTTTCTTTGTTTTAGAGACCATTTCTGTGGACATGATTCAGATGCAACGTTTCGTTGACTGTGCGTTGAATCTCGTTACTGTATTCTTTATGCATTAGAATGCAAGATAATCTTGATGTTACTCTTTTCATTTCACAAGGAGATGGGGACAAAATTATTTTTCTCAAGCACCAGAGCTGGGTAATATTTATAAAGAGAATATTTGAAATAATATTTTAAATAATTGATTCTTCACGATTCAGATAAAATTGTATTTCAAATACGATGTAAAAACTGTCAGTAAATAAAATATTTGATTTTAACTTGTTATATTTTTAAAGACAAGTATTCGCGTGTAACAAAGTGCATCTTTAATGTACGTTTATAGTGCACAGGAAAAATACTTCGTTCGTTTTAGATTACCAAAATAATTATGTTTTATACTGTAATTTAATAAAAAATATAAAATAAAAATATTTTATTTGATTATAATAAATCGAATAAATAAAATATTTTACTTCCAAAAGTACAATTCTTCCGAACAAATAAAATATTTCATTTTCAAACATACATGCATGATTCAAAATAATGTATCTATTTACCTTTTGCTATTTGAAATACTATTTTACCCAGCTCCGTCAAGCACATTGGAACGAAGGCAAGGTGCTTGAGAAATAATTAGCTGGCAACACGACCATTTACACCGTGACATTATGCACAAAGAGCACAGCTGCGAGAACTGAATAAACAAAGAGAGGATGGTTTTTAATTAAGACACTAAACAAAACATACACGTTTCTTGAGCGAAGAATAAAATCTAATTATAAACTGTTCGTATTTAGAACGACTGTAGCAATTTTCTTACGACAAAACAGTGAAACGAACGTTACAAGTCCCATTGTAATTAAGAATAACGTATCGTTGCAAAAAGCCGCGGCCTTGGAAGGCAATTGGGAAAAGTGACGTTCCGCGCGCACAGCAACCAGCAGCCTCGAACTGTCAATCGCAATTACGAATTTCATTTTAATTAGCACTCGCAGTTGATACTGTATCGAACAGGTTCCGGGGAAATGTCGGTTTTTCGAACGGCTCGGCAATATCGGCGGGAAGAAAAGCGTCGGGCGCAGCGTCGCATGCACGAACGATTCGTACGAACGTGTCATTTCCCGCGAGCAACGACTGTCGATAACCAACGAATTGCACAAAATAATTATATGCAGGCCGGACGCGTAAGAACGAGCTTGGATACCGGTTTCGCCTGACTCGAAAGTTAATGGCCGCTGATCAGTCGGGAAAATTGATTTCCGGCGTTGCTCGTCGATATCGCGGACTTGTTCATTTGAATTATCGCTCAAAAATTCTGCAGCGTTCCCACGCTCGCATTTCGCGCCGGTGCGCGTATTTATCGTTATTTATTTAACTTTTCGTTCGAGCTTTTCCATCTGCAAGTTATGATTCCGAGCGCATTTCGTCGGATCGCCGTCCCGTCGGGCGGTGGTGCATTTGGCCTCAGAAGCTGGTTAAAATTATTTTACTCGCTTTTATGAGAGTGAAACAATGATATTGTTATACGAATATTATATGTTTGTCCATGCTATTTTACCTTAAAAGAACATTCCTGCTGTTTCGATTTCAAAATATCTTTGTTTGTTTCACAATCTCCTAAAAATAATCTAATTGAAAACGTTTAGAAGCGCTTCTAGACACTAATTCTATTTGTATCGTAAACAGAAGATCGTGCTGAATCGAATAAAACATCGAAACAATAATTTCTATACGAATTGTTCGAAATTTAATATACTTCAGCGAATTATCGGTAATTTCTTAACTGATCACGAAAACACTGGCCATTAATGAGTGAACAGTAACAGAGAAACTAGATAAAACAGCAACGGATCTAGTTAAAAAAATCAACAAATTAAAAGAAAATGTATTGGAATATCGTTTTCTACTGTCAACTGTCTCAGAAAGCAAAATTTTATATGTCGCAGAAGATTTGTTGGATCGACTGTTGGCCAGTTTCTGTGGCCGAATACTGAAACCATTTTATCGAACTTTCTCCCGGCGTTCGGTCTTCGGTTTATCGCCGCGGTCGTCGGAAGAATTCATTCCGGAGCCGTTTCATTAAATTCCGTCGCCGTCGTTTCAGTACATTCGACCGTGAACGAGAATATTTAGCTTCCGATAGCCGTGATGGAACCCGCCATCTCGTTTACGTTCGCGCCTGCGAGTGCTCGAAATGGCTGCCAGTTCGCTGCTGTTTGCGCCCCAAAGATGCAATATTAGTTCGCAACTGCAAGCCCCTAGCTATTTACGAATGTTCGTTCGATTTCCTTTCCGAAGTTCGTAGCACAGTAACTTGGTGTTTCTCGTGATGATGTTGTCGTTCCTTGTCCTCGTAATTATTCGACTTAGCGTTTCACACTCACTTCAGAGTGAGTCGTCTGTTATTGGAACCATTTTTTGTCACATTTTTATTGCGCACAGATTCGCAGAATCATATTGTGCAAAAGAGATTTCTTTTTATTGCGATCGAAGAAGAATTGACATTTGTTTCATGAGAGAATCTGTATCGATAAAAGAAACTTTGGATATCTTTAAGTTCTTAAGAAACGTCGGATCAATTGTTAAAGTTGTTTTTAATAGCGAAAGCTCCCCGAAATCCGTCGTCGGGGCACTGTAATTGGCTCCTCTGCCCTATCTCGCCAGGCATCCGTTTCACATTTATTAAACCAGACCGTTCAACGTTCGGTTCTTCTAGGACGAACATATTCGCCACCGTGAAGCTGCGCAAAACGAAGACGAACGATCGCTCGGCGCCGGCGTTGTCATGAGATAAGCTCTTCATCTAGATTACTTTCCACGTGTGATGTTAGACGCTACCGACAAAGAAGGGGCGGTCTCCCCGTGCGAGAGACAACAGTTCCTTTCATGCAAAGGCTTCTGAAGCGAGCGCGCTTCGGGGATCTTCTTCACACGGCGTGGGTGTCCGTCCAACGAACGCCTCTCTCTCTCTCTCTCTTTTTCTCTTTTTCTCTATCTTTCTCTATCTTTATCACACACTTCAATCCTCTATGACTATTCTTTTTAAAGAGCATAGACAACGATTCGTCCAGCCGTCGGCGCGGTACCGGGCGACGACACCTTTTGTCAGCTTCTTCTGCGACAGCTCTTCGACAGGTGTGCAGACCCGGACAAAGAAATTGCCGTGACGCTTCGCGAGAATTTTATTGTTCTCCGGAATACACAGTTCGTGCGAAAGAAATGTGCTGCTGAACTGTTAACAAATTATTATTTTGGCCCGCTATACGAGGTTGCCATTTTTTGGGGAGGATTTTGCGGGTAAGATTTGTTAGCCTTTGTATCTTCCTAGTGATGAGGATGATTAAAAATTTTGTTTCGTGAAATCTGTACATCTTTTACGCGATGCTATATAGAGTTTTATTTCTATAATATGTAAGTATTTATTCGCAGTGGTGTGCATAATTGTAGAATCAAAGTAACGTTTACATTTTTATCGATGTTCAAATAAAAATCAGGAAAGAATTTTCTTTCTGTTTTCTATTATTTATTCACACCACTGTATATAGTATATATTTCCATACTATTTATCAATTCTATATAGAGAATTATTTCCAACGTTTTGTTATTTTATATTTTATTTAAAGCGTTACTCATTGCTTCGCGAATAGATACATTCAATTTGTTGGCAACTGATTCGATACGAGTTTCCCAGTGCAAAGGGTTAATTATTGATTGAGTCTTATTACTAGACCGCGGATTTTTATGCATAATAAAAATTATCTGAATCAATAATAGGATTTGAATAGAAATCCATTTCTTCTTTTGATGATTTCGAGAAGTAACGTCTTCGTTACTTGAAATTCCACCTAGTCATTTTTATCATAAATGCTTAAAATTCGCAGTCTACTTATTATATCATTGAATTGTTCTTTAATTCGACTAAAGTATCATCTCTCAAAAAATGGCCAAGTTGACGAAATATAACGCTTATATAGGAATTTGTGTATTTTTGTTCCGTTATTGATACCGATAGGCAAATGGCAATTTCGAGAACCCGAGCAGTACCAAGTCGAAGAGAATTGGATTTCCCCAGCCATTTGTCAATTGATCGGCGCAATTTAACGCGGACTGATAAGCATGGAATCTTGAGGGACCATTTTGCGATCAACGATACGCTTTTATACGCGACGTTTTACGGGAGCTTCTCTTGCGATTTTCGAGCATATTTTATCCGTCATAGAGGGTTGGAGGACCGTCCTTGAATCGAAGGGCTATAAAAGTGTCTGCGTCGTCCAGGTAAGACATTCGTCAAGCATCTCTTACGCGTTTTATTTCAATATCGCCAACAAATCATCGAAAGAGACGCTTCTTTCTTTTGAAGTCTGCCTTGTTTTACAACGTTCGTCTATCTTCTCTCAACGATTATTTGTTACGTCCGCGTTACAACGTTTCACGCCCGTAGAAAAGTATGTAGAGAACATTTATCGTTTCCTAGCTTTTTATATATAATTCTTTCGAGGCAATTGCTAATTTTCTCGTGAAATAGACCTTGAAATATTTTTAGCGACTTCCGACGTTAGACTGTTTAAGATTTGTACATTGTATTGAATCGCACTATTTATTGTGAGAAATGTATGTTACACAAGTTTCTGCCGATTCGTTTGCAGAATATGTAGCACCTGAGACAGACACGAATTTGGCGCTCGACGCGGATAGAATAAGTTTGTGTAGGATGCTCGGTGCGTTCATTTTTCTATTAAAGCGACATTCAAACATTTTCGTAATTGGATTTATTGAAAATTGAGTCAAAAGTAATTTTTTCTAATAGTGATTCAGGAATTGATTTCCTCTATTAAAACTCTGTTTTTAAGACTACAAGTCGAACTTAAATCTTGCAAACATTCCTGTTGTCTTATTTCTTCTCCGTTTATTATTTAATCTCGAAGTGCATAATGAAGTGTGCAGCTTAAGACATGATCGAATGCTCCAAATTGGTTATTGACTACACTATATATATAATTTTCTTCATTTTAATCCTCAATTTACGATGTTAAACTTGTCTTTAACTTATGGTGTAAACAATATTAATTAATTAATCATTTGTGGAATATTTATAAAACTTCTTTAATTATAAATTATAAGGCGAACCAAGATCTTGCAAAAACTGATTCGTTTCCGTTACATCTTGTTTCAAAAAGCATTCATCAA